CGTTTCCTTGGTTTGGCCCCAAGGAAAAGGAAATTCCTCTCTCCTCTGGGACAGAGACCCACAGCGCATGTGAGCAAAGCCACCTCTTCTACATGGCTGTCTTGGTGGCAGCATGCGTGGGCCTGGACATCCAAATTCTGGCAGTTGGCAACAATAATCATCCGAAAACCGTAGCTATGTTTGAGAACTAAGGATGCGGTAACTGGTAAAGGGACAGAGTTAGAGGGAATGGCACAAAGTCAAACACAACTTCTGCAAAGCCCCTCCGTCTCCCAGCACAGCTAAGCCAGCACCTGCGAGAGCCAAACCCACGTAAACCGGGACACAGAAGGGGCAGGATGGGGGTCTGAAGTCCTAAGTCGGTGTTTGCTCTCGGGGCGTTTCCAGATGCTGATGTCTGCTTGGGACCTGGCTGCTTTACAAGGCTGTTCACGGAGAGATGTGCCCCTGCTCCAGGGTGCACCTCACATTTTGTTCTAGTCCACGTCTCTTATTTACTGCTGTTGGCACAGGTATCCAGGCAGTGCGTTTATTTATTGGCATATCATTGACTTACACATTAATGTCTTCTTTCTGTTACAGAAAGCCACGAACAAAGCTACAGCTGTCAGTCAGGTCCTCAAAGCCTTCTCGGCACTCCAGCCTAAGCCAAGGATCACAACCAAATTTAATAAGTAGCACCCATGGGCCAACTTTTGCTTTATTACCCATCGCCGAATTCAAGCCTTGCCTTTTGTCTTAAAATGTTTTTAATTGCATCTAACTATGTATGTAGATACACGGACTCGAGCATCTAACCATGAAATCTCCATCTCCATAAAGCTGCGGCGCTGGGCGGTGCCTGCCCTGCACGGCCAAGGGAGAGAGTTGCCCTGAGGCCAGGGCCAGCCCTGCACCAGCCAGCGGGACAAGGGCCCTGCTGCTTCCCCGGCTGCTGCAGCCTCCAGAGGTGGCTGCAGGAGCTCCCGTTCGCTGAGCGGGCCAGTCCCCCCATTAGCTTCCCCTCGGTGAGTGCCAGCGGCTCGTAACACCAGTTCTAGTTGGGGTAGACGGTGCAACCACTATGAGTAATGATCAGGCTTGGCTGTTGTGGGAACTGCTTGGGCCGTTGCCCTTTGTGGTCTCCACTGCCTGCAGGCTGTAATGGAGCAGGCAGGTTTTACCCCCCACCCTCTCATTTCCCGCCCCCCTACCCCCACCTCACTGATTTACCTACCAGGTTTTCCTCCATTCATTCCCTCCCCTCCAGGAGTCTCTCCCTTCAGCCCCTTATTTCAGCAAGCTCAGTTTCTCCCACCTCTCTCCTCCTGCCCTTCCCGACCCTCTCTCCTGTGCCCCAGCCCCCTCTCCTCACTGACTCCTTCTCCAGCTTCTGCAGCCACTGCAGACAGCAACAGCGAACCCTCTCCCCACGTCGGAGCAGCCTGCAATGGCAGCCCGGCAGAGCGCAGAAGCCACACGTGGGCTGCAAGGCTGGTCCTGACTGCCTGGGCTTGTTTTCACGTCCTGAATCAACAGGGAGGGAGGTCAAGACTCCTGTTGGCACAGTAGTTGGCCATGAGATGACACACTCGGTATCCTCATCTTCCATGGCTGCAAAGAACATGTCCCTCAGCTATGACCCGTTTTTGACCTCATTATGCAGTTTGCATAATACTGGGGGGGTTTAAGGCTACAGAATAATCTGTTAGCAATTTGTTTTTACTGTGAGCACCACAAGCATAAAAGAGTTAAGTGGTCATGAGGGTAAGTTTACCCCAGGATGTATGGAGGAGCAGGGGACAGAAATCCAGAATCCCTGTTGTGCATCATGACCTCAGGACAATTTATGCCCTCTGTTTACCTATCTATCAGGAGGAAAAAGCATGCCAATTATTCCAACAGACAACACTGTAGGCAAGATGAGTTATAATAAAGAGTTAAGCAGCACACATCTTATCTGAACAAAACAAAGCAACACTGAAATTTATATATAATAGGTAATTTTTATTTAAAAAAACATTGCAACTGACAGAGAAAATAAACTTCATGAAATGTGCCATACATTCAAAGAGATGTATTTAAAGTAATTGATTTCTCATTCTCTGAGGTGATCATTGATACAGATACTTCCTGACAACTTCCTGACAATTAAAGAACAAAACCAAAGTCCTGTAACATTTTGCCCCTAAAGTATCTTGCAAGATGAAGTTCAAGAGTTCCTGGCCAAGAGTCCTACCTTGCTAAATGCCACATACAGAAGATGACTTTAGACATGGTTTCACTGGCTTCTCTTCCAGCATTTGCAGCTCTGGTGTGAATGAGACTGGTCTGCAGAGCTTGCTGGTTTGGGTACTGGATGACAGACTCAAGAATCTGCCCGGGGAAGAGTCCCAAAAGGAAAAAACAACAGATGTTTTATCCTCAGTAATACCTGTAGTTTAAAGCCAAAGAGGTGGCCAAAAGTGTGCATTCCCAGGCAAAGCTATAACATACAGAAGTGTATTTCTTAAGAGCCATCTATTTCTTATATCCCCGTTTCATAGAATATTAGAAAAAGACCACCATATACAAAAATCTGTATAATAACTCTACAAGTTATTAAAAAAATCCAAAACTTCAGACCATTAAAACACACAAGAAAGTGTTTGCATACAGTAGAAATACAATCCTCACTTAAAGCAGCGTACCAGAGAAGCCAGTTGTTAAGTTTTCAGTTAAAAAAGACAAAATCTGTAACACAACCAGAACTTTGGAGAAAAGAGAGGAACAAAACATTCATAGTCTACCATGCCGGGTACATCGTCTTTGTAAGGTCACTTCAGGCCTAAAAGAGTACGGTATCGAGCAAAGAGCGTGGAGTCAGTACCCAGGCAGAGCATTCTGTGCCCAGCCCTTGGAAACAGCAGCTCTCCTCGGCTCTGCTTCACTCACGCAGATCCAACTGGATCTGCCAGGGCAGGAGGGACATCCCGAGGACACCCTTCCTTCCACCTCCAGCAGTGCCCCCACCAAAGGACAGGTCAGCTTGGCCCCAGGGCAGGACTTCTGCCCACAGATTTGGGCCTCAGCCCTCCACCACCAACACATCAGCTCCAAAACCAAACGGCACGTGCAGTGGGAGCCCTGATGTCAGCCTGGGGTTGCCTGAGGCGTGAGGGGCACAGGTCTGTAAAGCAGCACAGGGACAGCCCACTCTTCCCTGTCTTATGACAGACATTCCCAAACGAGCGCCAGGCAACCACTGCTGCAGCCTGCTGACGCTTCCCCTCCGGGGGACAGTTTGCCATTGATGAAGACAGTCCTGACTCAAATCATGAGGTTCTCAAATAAAGAGGGTAGGAGAAGTATCTGATTTACCCACTGAAGTTACTAAACCTCAGACTTGCTACCATCAGTGAGAAAACATAAGCTCTTGGGCTAATCTTGGAGAAAAAATTGTTCTCAAAAATCTGTCCCAGCTCTAACACCGTGCCTGTGGTCAGACGGGATTCACCCGGCAGCAGGGAGGGAGCCTCATGAAGCAGCGAGCAGCGCAGGCATAGCTGTTCTTGGGACTACGCACCTCGCTATGGCTGCCTCATAGCAGCCTGTGCAGTTTCATGATGGCAACTGGCAAAAGCCCAGGGGCTTGTTCACAGCCCCCTGTGGGTCCACACCACCTGCAGCTGCTAGACATGTGCAGTTCTCAGAAAGGGCATGGTGACCTACGCTGGCAAACAGCCATTATAGACAACATCTACATTTATAAATAAACTCTCTACTCTTTCAGCTTCCTCAGTCCCTCTGTCTAACTACAGGCTGCTGATTCTTCTAAAAGCCTAGAAGATCTTAAAGCAACAGAAAAAGGAAAACGTGGACTTCTTCCTTGTTGGGTGAATGCAAGAAACACTCCAAACATAAACTGGTTCTTGTATGGCATAAAACAACACGAACGTGAATCTCAGCCTCAACAAATCAAGCTGTAAGATGCTAGTCCTATTCCATAGGATATGGCTTTTTCTCTGTCTCAAACTTCTTCACATCCCCTTCTGAGGCAAAGGAAGTGGAGCTGCTTCTGCCTTTGTGGCTCAATCACCATCTAGAAATACTTGCCTGGCAGCCCTGGCAACACGCGTCTGCTGGCACCTTGGTTTGTGAAAGACGTCCTACAGCCCATCTCTGTCCTGTGCATGGCTGCAGGAGTTGTGCTGCCCCGAGTGCAAGGTGGGCTCTTCCCAAACCCCATTGTTTCAAAGGCAAAACTACCTAAGTTACCAGCAGTCTCCCATGAGCTCCTCCTTTTGGCCGACCACTTGACTGGCTGTGCCTGCTCTAAATGTGGCTCCAGCACTGTCCATACTCAGAGCCCCTGCATCATCTCCTTGACGTGTCCACCTGCCACACTGATCCCGCAGCAGGGGTGGACACTGGTCATTCACTCTGCAGCACACTGATGCTTTCCACTGTGGATGACTGGTTCATTTCTGGCTGCTCACCTCTTTGCAGAGCCTCCTGTCCTCACCTTCTCTGCTCACCAGACACCCTTCTTAAAGAGAAGAGAAAGCTCCTGCATTTGCTCTTCAATACTCCTTCCTACGGAGATACTGAACGCTAGCATATGCCACAAAATTCCTGCCAATATACAGACTTCATATTATATAAATAGGTAAAAGTTTCAGACAAAATACCCTATAATTTCTGTGGTGTAACATTTTTAAATAGCATTAAAAACACAAACCAGCCAGCCCTTGTGATTAAATATACAAACGTTTGTGAATCGATAAGGCTCATAGGTACCTATGCAAAAATAAAGTGCCCCTCCCCCCACCAGGAAACAGTTCTGTACAGCTAAGTCTGGAAACAGAGAGAGCAAGTTCTTTGAAATAAAACCTCCCGAACTGGAAGTGCAGCCAGATTGTCAATCCTTGTTCTCATTTCTGCTCTCAACTCGGCAACGCAGGAGTATTTACAAGCGGAAGAGGAGCCGCCATGGCTGACTCCGCAGCGCCGTTGACTTGCAACCTGCCCAGCTAAGTGCCTCACAGGGCCTTGGTGCTGGCTGGGTGTGCAGTGTGGGACACAGGCTTCTGAGGGTAGTAGCTGTACAAGTAAACCTGCAACAGGATAGTGATGTCCACAAAAACCTGCAGGAGTCCGCAGATGGAGAACTGGAAAGGGGCCTGATTCAGAATGAAGTAAACTGTCTTGAACGTGTCCCCGCTGGTCCACATCAGCACCATCTTGACACTAAAAGATAGAAAAGAAGGGAAGAGTATTACTTGAGAGGAACTTGTGATTAGACCTGCCATGCTAGAGTATCCCACCTACTTCAGCAAGGGTTTATGCTCAACCGTGGGGTGGGACTCCCCTCGAGAAGGTCAGACAGCGTGCCTAGCCAAGTCGTGGAGCACTGTACTTGGAAGGGACGATCAAATTGTCTACCCCACAAACTGCAGCTCTCTTATCTCAGCAATTACAGCTCCAAATGCCTGTGGCTATGAAGGTATCCAACATTTTAAGATATCCAGCTAGGATATTTGACTCAGCAGCGCTCTGCAAACATGACTGCCACATGCTGACAGCACTGACCATGAACGAAGTGCATGGAAAACAAAGGCAATTCATCCCAGCAGTGCGTGCAATTCTGTGCTCACACGAGGTGAAAACACGTAGACTGCTCTCTCATGCGTGCACACTTTTTTAGCATCTGCTGAAACAAACACTGCTGATAGATACATGAAACCATTTCTTACTGCAGAAAATGCAAAGCCAAAAACCAGAAAGACAGATTGTCAGGTAATACAGAAAGAGGGGAAATGACATGCCTGCAGCTGTTACTGGAAGGATGAACATCACTAGGGATTTTTATCAAGGACACAGATCAAGAGCAATGCTCAGACTTCCTTTTAATAGCCATCCTTGCTTTCATCTTGCTGTACTGCTGAGCCATCCCATCCTGCAGTCCAGCTCCTGCTCCCCCACATCAGGAGAAACTCTGGGGAATAGAAGCAAGTTCCTTCAAACAGACCAAATGTTTTTTCAATGCCCTCAACAAAATGTGAACTACCAGATCCTGAAGCTTTCTGAGCTTCGTGCACTTTAACAGGAGGGCTTTTGAAGCAGCTAGATAAGCAGTAGTGGTCAAAAGCTTTGTAGTTCACAATATGAGCATTGTGCACGATTTGTCATAATTATGAGCAATTATATTTTGCCAGCACGGACTCCAGTTCATCATATGCAGTCAGGCCCATGCAGCAGGGTAGGACTTAATGTTCATTTCTCAATCATTCAGGCAGGGAGCTAGCACAATTTGTATTTTGGACACAAGTACACAATGTTATTGCAAGCCAAATGCTGCAGCCTGCTCTCTCCCCATACGGGAAGGGTGGCCAAGAGCATCAGTTCATACTGCCCCATCGCACTATGGAAACAAGCCTTTTTGGAACTCATGTCATGTGGCTGAGAGCCTAAAACATACAATCCTATGAACCTTCCAAAGAGAGTCTCCAGGTGGAAGTGCAAGCAAGGACACGGGGTTGAGTGAGCAGTCATTCCCCACCCAAGGTCATTCTAAAAATGCAAATAAATAATTAGAGAAGGAAAACAACTGCTGAAGCCACAGTGTCATTTGTGCTCAGTGCAAACAGCCTGCACCACCTGCCAGTCACACTAAGTCATCTTACGTCACACTTACTGAAGGTTTACAGATGCAGGCAGTGGTGAGGATAGTTTGGAATTTTAATTAGGAAGGGCAATAAACTCTGAGGGTAATAAAACTGGCACCTTTCTTGCAGGCAGACAACATTCCTCCTCCTCCGATTTTAAGCTTATCAGTGTTTGCTGGGCAACTGATCGCAACTGAATTGAGAATCTGTCCTTGCATGGTTGGGGACCCCCCCAAAAAACACATGCTAAACGTGGCAGGTCAAACTAACTGCTCGCTGTTGACAGAAAGGCAATTCAGGGATGCCACAAAATACTTGAATAGGAATTTAACGTGCAAAGGATATTTGTCACATATTCTCCATGGAGAAAGCTAGCCGGGTTTTAAAAGTGTCTCCACAGTGCAGTGAAGATGAGGAGAAAATACACCACTGGCAGAAGATGTACAGTCTGCAAAAGAGTTTACTCCCCCAAAGAATAATCACTGGGGGAAACCTTACGGACACATGCAGCTCAGCAGTGCCGAAGAAGCCAAGCACTAGAAGCACATCTCTAGCTGTGTCACATGCTGTACCGAGTTTGCCAAAGCAATTACAGGTTTTGCTAGGAAGCCACCTGTGAACTCAATAGCCTGCAATACCAACTGGGTAACTTGGTGCATGCTTCCAAAAGCCTTTGCATGTTCCAGAGTCCTGCTCTTGAGCCTGTGCATCAGATACTCAAGGAAATCACTGTCATGCCTGATGTTCTCACTAGGACATGACAATGCTCTATACACAGGAAAATCTCAACTTGTCCCTGGCAAAAATGGTTTTTAAATGTTTAACAGATAGTTTAAAGAGCCAACACCACCGGTCTGTCAGTTCTTTTTTTCAGAGAGAAAACCTGCAAATCACCAAGGTACTGTAAAAACACACAAAACACTTCATGTTCCACAAGACCGTAGTACTGCAGCTGCACCAAGGTTCTCAGAGCCCAGGGTTAATGCAAAGCAGTGACTGTGGGAGTGCTGGCTGCTCTCCAGAGGAGAGGCTGGGACTAGACAAAAAGAGCATGTCCAGCACAGACCTAAAGGTGTGTAGTGTAACCGCAAACAGCTTGTCAAGGAAACGGGGACAGTGTCATGCAAGAAGTGAGAATAGGCAATGACGAGCCCCAGAGGAAAGCTGGAGCTGAGAGGAAAGATGAGGAGACATCAGAAGAGCAGAGAGGTCAGTCAGATGAGTAGGGGCTAGGAAAAAGAGGCTGGAGCAGGACAGGGAATGACAGGAACAGAAGAGAATTGGGAACTTGGGATGCAAGTCCTTGGAAATTACCTGAATTTGGGGTGGACAGACAAAGGAATACAGCCTGGGACGAGGGCGTTCAGGGTTGTATTGGGTTTGCGTGGCAAGGTTTTGGTAACATGGGGGCTACAGGAGTGGCTTCTGTAAGATGCTGCTAGAAGCTTCACCTATGTCTGATGGAGCAAATGCCAGCTGGCTCCAAGATGGACCTGCCAGTAGCCATGGCCAAGCTCATCAGCAATGGTGGTAGTGTCTCTGGGATAACGTATTTAAGAAGGTGGGAAAAAACCCAGCAACAGCAATTGCAGGTGGAGAAAGGAGTGGGAATATGTGAGAGAAAAAACTCTGCAGACACAAAGGTCAGTGAAGAAGGAGGAGGAGGTGATCCAGGCACTGGAGCAGAGATTCCCCTGCAGCCCCTGGTGAAGACCATGGTGAGGCCGGCTGTCTCCCTGCAGCTCCACAGTGGCGCAGATATCCACCTGCAGCCTGTGGAGGACCCCATGCTGGAGCAGGTGGATGCCCAAAGGAGGCTGTGACCCCATGGGAAGCCTCCACCTGAGCAAGGTCCTGGCAGGACCGGCGGAGAGAGCAGAGCCCACATTGGAGCAGGTTTGCTGGCAGGACTTGTGACCCCACGGGGGACCCACACTGGAGCAGTCTGTTCCTGAAGGACGGCACCCTGTGGAAAGAACACATGAAAAGGACCCAGGCTGGAGCAGTTTGTGAAGAACTGCAGCCTGTGGGAAGGACCCCCATTGGAGAAGTTCATGAAGGACCCTCTCCTGTGGGAGGGACCCCACACTGGAGCAGGGGAAGAGAATGAGGAGGAAGGAGCAGAAGAGATGACATGTGATGAACTGACCACAACCCCCATTCTTAGTCCCCCTGTGCCGCCTTGGGGGCAGAGGTAGAGAAGTTGGGAGTGAAGATGAGCCTGGGAAGAAGGGAGGCGTGCAGGGAAGGTGTTTTAAGATTTGGTTTTATTTCTTGTTATCCTAAGCTGATATTACTGGCAATTAATTAATTTCCCTGAGTCGAGTCTGTTTTGCCAGTGATCTCCCTTGCCTTATCTCAACCCGTGAGCCTTTTATAGTATTTTTCTCTCCCCCTGTCCAGTTGACCGGGGGAGTGATAGGGCAGCTTGGTGGGCACCTGGCATGCACCCAAGGTCAACCCACCACAAGGGTGCAGCTAGGGAATGAGCAGAAGAGGTGTGCACTGGCCCAGGACGCTCACCTCATCATTGTAATGTCTGCAAGCATCCACAAATGCCCCCAGCACCCTCTCCGATTAAGTATGTGTCTCACTCCCCCAGTGCCTGCCCCGGGGAGAGGAAAAGCTACAACTGCTGCCGGCTGTCCCCCATCTTAACCAGCACCCGTTTGCACACACAGCCTGAAAGTTTCAATTTGCTGAGAAACCCATCGAGTGTCTGCGTGGCAACTCAGGGGGGAATAGAGATGCCCCTGCCCCCACCACCACATCGCAGGCCCATGCTTCAGGAGGCTGGGAGAGGGGCTGAATGAAGTTCACATCATCAACATGGCTTCTGTCATGTCCTAATTTCCAGACACTTGGGTACAATAGTAATGGTCCTCCCCCTTTATTTGGGCTGTGCAATTGCCTTGTTTTTGCTGCATACGCAGATGCCATTCGCAATAATGCAGCAGCACATGCGTGACTATGCGTGACTGATCGCATGGATACACCATCACTGCTCTCACTTCCAGCTAACGTGTCACTTCAGGATGCCACATGGGATAAAAAAGACAGTTTTTGTCCACGGCTTCTCAACTTTACCCACTCACTTGGGGAAGAGACTTAATTCTTGTATTTATTCTTATTTTTGGGGTAGAAAAGAAAGACATCAACCAATCTTGGGCAGATAGCTGCCTCTTCTCTGCCCCAGAGGAGAAAAGAGCAGTGTTTGTGCGGAAAGGGAAGGCTTTATTGCCCAAAAGAAATGGAGTTTTCAGTTGGTTGTGGGGAAGGAAGAGGAAAAAGGGGAGAGTACACCTGAGCTCTTCTCCCCACTGCTCTGCTGTAACCTCCATTTACCAAATAAAGCTCCAGTCCTTTCCTGTAAGACAAGAGGCTCATTTTTAATAAGCTACCCCGATACATCGAAGGGGGCAACCCACAAGTCTCAGCTTTCTTCCCCTGCAGGACTCTGCATGCCACGTGACAGAAAACCAGCAGGATCACAGCAACAGCATGAGTCTCTCAGGGAGCCACACGACACAGCAGCGGGTCCAATGCAGGCCGCCAGAGGTGGAGAACAAGCCCTCTGCATGG